TTTTGCCTGCTACTCGTATAGCGTGTTTTGTGAAATACCGTAACTCAACAGTTAAATCTATACCCTTAATGTGATGTTAAGAATTATCACATCAAAAGCATAGATTTGCCTGCTGAATTACGCTTGTGATGTTGATTGATTTTTGTGCTGCTTCTGCAAACTTTACGGTCATTCAAATGTCCCATAATTCTGCATATATCTGAAATCGCTTTCCTTTCAACACTCTGCTTTTTCGATGAGCTATAGAACACTTTTTGCTATGTTCTAGTGTTTAGCAAGAGATGTGACCGATCGGATTAGCGATAGGTTATTTATGATTCTCAAATGTATAACACTGAGCCTAACAAATTGAAGTATTTGTTGTAATAAATTTTTGAACATCACGTTGGGTCAGGAATTATCTCTCTCCGCAGAAAGGAACCGTATCCTTGGCTTGCAAACGTATTCGTTGCTTTGCGCACAATTAGGTGAGTTCCGCTGACAGGGTAACTCGTTGGAGATCCCGCGAGTGTTATTATGACATTTTCATCGTCTCCACGGGTGAGACACACCCCATAAGTGTCGATGATGACCTGACCTCTCGGGAGACTTGCACTTCTTCAACTTTTTGCGAGCCTCACCCTCTGTCTTCGACGAGTACTAAAGAGAATGTAATTCGAAAGGCAGCAGGCAATTTGACTCATTTCAATTTCATTTCATTCATTTCAAAAGGTTCCAGTACTGTGGCCATCTCTTAGCAGGCAGATGTCGAGAAAAGTGATGAACGTGCTACATAGCCTCCCTGGATCTGAAGAAAGCGTGCGATTGCTTACAGTGACCTGTCCTCTAGAGAACGCTCACAAGGGAAGGATGGTAGGTCGAAGTGGCCATGAAATGAGATGTACATCGACTGAAAGGTCTTCAGATGGGAATAACTAAATCGTCTTCCGTATCTGCTGCGGACCTTCCAAAACAAAGTTTCGGGCTTTCTAGGAGGAGCATGCTGGCATTCTGTACTAGTTAGAGGTGCTAGGCAATCTCGAGGTAGCAGGCCGAGCGGATTCGTCGCAGGTTTCATGAACACATGATCGTGGGTTTGGATCCTTGATGCGTATTCTATTTTGCATTTTTTCAACAGTGGTATCTGTAATATAAGCGGATTCCTGAGCTTCATTGCCTTATCTTCTTGTGCTTATTAAAAGAAACTCGTCGCAGTTGTTCATTGCATAGACGACGTTTCGAGCTTTGAGCCCCTCTTCAGGTCTACAATCACCACACTCAAAGCTTACACCAACGTCATCTAACGTTCCAAACACAGGCAGAACTTGAAGGGGGAAACAATCAGCAAATAACTGACCGGATTCTTACGGGCCGGAGGGTCGGTCAGGGCAGGTAGGAGATTCGGGAATATGCTGTAAGATGATCTCTGATGATGTGACAAACAGTAGTACGCAACAATGACTCACCGTCCCAGCTGTCCTTTAGTTGGTGTTGATGATGTTGGTGTAAGCTTTGAGTAAGATGATTGTAGACCTGAAGAAGGGCTTAAAGCCCGAAACGTCGTCTATGCAATAAACGACTGCAACGAGTTTCATTTTTGCAATCATAAAGAAGTGGTATCTGTGTACTCGAGAACATTTTTGTACTTGTAACTTTCGTACTTGATGATGTCTCTGTTTCTTCAAGGAAAGTTTCTGAAATAATGCAGCCATTGCGGACAAATCCATTGGAAAAATTCTTGGCTGTTGGGTTTGTCTCACGAGCCGAAAACTTGCAGCAGGTGCGAAAACTCCATTTTGAGATAGAACAAGTAAACTTACCAGCACTATGGGATTGATTAATGAAGATTTCGCCGATCATGATTTCTGGCAAGACTGTCACGTCAATGTCACGTCGTCGTGGAAGAGTCTTTTCATTTATACTCATCTTCGAACGCAACTTGTATAGTTTTGGGTCCAGCCATGCAGTTTGGAGAATAGACCCATTTCTTGAGGCAAGATCATTCATTGTAGTGCATTCGTATAGTGAAAGATAACCTTCTCGAAGCAATATATGAAGAAATCAACAGTCAAAAATGCTTTCGTATGTCTTCAAGCCTGGCAAGATTGGATGGCTCTAGTACTAGATCAAAACTTGCAAAGGTCGAGGAAGGGTGCCAGCTCCAGAATGCCTCCAATTTCCATAACGCGTGAGCTAGCACCCTTTCTCGACCTTTGCAAGCTCTGATCTACATTGAGGTAGAGGAGGGTGAATAGTAATAATTAATTAAGTGTTCCTCAATGTGGTCGACCCCGCATCGAGGCGGCTGATCAGGTGAGCCGTAATACTATTGATTGATATAGTTGGATGCTTTACTGGTCAAGGGAGATTGTCTTGAGGATTGTTGGGACGCTTGAGCGGGCAAGTTACATCTGTTTTTTTGTACATTTCAGGCTCAGACGAAGGCGAAGACGCCGAAACGTAGGCTTAGTAATAAAGCCAACCAATCCTGCCCAGCTTGAAGACATACGAAAGGGATATCTAGCATGCCAACATTGCAAGAAAGTCGCAGTTGGACTAGTCAAAAATGCACTCCTAGAATAGTCTGCAGAGACTGCATCAGTTCAGAAACATACCTTGACGACATTATATGCACAGGAGTTATGAAATATGTTTTCAAGTACACAGACACCCTGTCGGAAAATTCAGATAAGACCACGGATTCAAACACTCGGCCATGTGTTCACGGGACCTAATATAACGTTTCCATTCGGCCACGCTGCTTCGACCTCAATGGCCTTACGCCTCTAATTCATATGGAATTTCATTATGCTCCTCCTAAAAAGACTCGTAGCTTTGCTCTGGGAGGCCCGCAGCAGATGTGGAAGAAGGTTTCGTAATCCCTGTCCAAGAATATTTCATTCATTACACATTTCATTTCAAATAGTCACTCGACCTTATATCCATCCCCTGTCAGAGAACAGAATGTTTCCGAACGCCTGATTCCCTTTTGAGGGATATCCACTGTCGAGCCAACATTAATCTAAGGGGTTACACATACCACACGACCTTGCAATGGAAGTAGACATCACGGTGGAATTACACCAAGGATCAGTTAAGTTAAGAGTCCGTTCCAGTGCGTGCTAGGGACCAGGTGAAAAGAGGCAGTTTTTGGCATGGGTTCGATCCTTCTTCTGGCAATTCGGTTATTGTTCCCGTTTCTTGTCAGGTTTTTGCCTAATTGTCGCCCTCAAGTTTTGGTCTGTTTTTTTACTAGTGCTATCAGATTTTTCATTATCAACTCTTTCTAGCTTTCGCATAACGACAAGAGTGTTGCTATTCCTGCTTCCAACTAGAATCAGGACCCTTTTGACGAATTGTCGAGTTCCCGGGATTCTCTCATCGTACTGGCAAAAAGCTGTTCGTATTTCTGTCAGTTTCTCAAGTCAAATGACATAAGGCAAGATTCACCTCGTTTGCAACCCTGTCGAATTCCTTACCATGCCGCTACAGTTTTGTTGAGAGAATGTCCTTTTATTGCCTTTCCTGCTCGTCCTTCGAAGAATCTTTCCAAAGCATGTTGGAAGGACTCCCTCCCCACACCCACGGCGCTGTTCGGCTTGGAGAGAAGAAAGGTGGAGGGGAGGGAGTCACTCTGTTAGACCCTTCTGCTAATTCGTGTCAACCGACAGGTCTGCAGCTGATGGCTTATGAACTCTTGTGAAGCGACGAATAAGCATAAACGATCTTTTTGGCTATAGAGGAGTGATTCCGCTCGGTACCATTTGGTGCCCACATCGAGCCAGAGTTCGCCTTTTAGTGACTTGTTCCTATCACCTGGGGCCTGGAATAACGCCTACCATTGAGGAATCTTTTTTTTATTCCGTGATAACGTGGCAAATTGATTTGTTTGGGCTCCAAAGCACAAAAGGCGGTGTCCTATATATTAGGAGAGCTGGCTGCTAATGATTCAGGGCAGAATGAGGAATATTTGGGGCAGTTTGTTTTTTGCGAAGTGAGTTTCCTCCTCCGGTGCCAGAACTTCCTATACTTGTGCACTCCTGTCCGGTGGTTGTGATTCATTCGTATGAATGATGATTTGTTATCAGCGGTATGTTCAGACTAATATTCTGCGACGTTCCATATGAGGCTAGGGGAGACTATGATTTTGAAGCACACTCTGAGCTCATTTGATGTGGCGCTTCTTTGGACCATTTGCTTCCTGTAGAGGTTGAGCGGGTACGGCCTCCGTAGCACAAAAATACGTGAGTAGGGCGACCCGCTGGCGAATGAGGCCACGACTCCCCCATTGACCACGGCGACGCCCTTCTTCATTTGTGACCGCTCTTTCATTTTTTACACTTCCGCGGCGATCTCAGTTCCTTTCGAAGGTAAGAGTGAGATGACAAGGAGGAAGAGCTGACGTAAACAAAAGAGAACTCGAGATACGCTCCGGCTTTGCCTTATGCACCTACGAGCTCAATTTACAATAGGGTTCTATATAGGACATTTCGATCATAATTTTTTTCTGATTTACTTCTTCCTTTCTGTTTCTCGCCATCATGTCGTCTGTACATGGGTGGACTCACCGGAGCGTCATCTGGGTAGTTAATTAAGCGGACGGCGAAGGATCGCAGACGCGGCTGCAGCAGCGACCGCGTCCACAGGAGCTGTTGGCGGCTAGCAGCTGTCTCCAGCCTGGTGCACTGGTTTTCTCCCTACTTTTCACTGCTTTTGGCTGCTTTTCTCAAGGAGATTGGTGTTTCTCTTATTTTTGTGAACAATCGAGCAATCAAACAAGTGAAGCACCGCAGTCGCTTTGCGACCTTTGACCACCTAATCAACAGCCCGGATGACGACTTTCCAGTTTTGCTTGATCCCTCGAGCGAGAAAAACGCCACTACTTATGGGCCAACCCAACACATCGAAGCAGAGCCCGTCTTTTTTTCTACTGCGGCTTGGTTTCACAGTGATTTCGTGCGACGGTTCAGGTGTTGAAGGTTGAACAGTAGACCCATTTTGAGTTATCATCCTCGTTCAAGATGGTATCAGAGGACATCGTCTCTCAGAGGTACGATGATATCGTCAAGAGCCCGTCAGATCAGAGAGAGGTTCGTATTTTTCTCGCTCAAATTTTTATGAATTCAGAAACGCAGTGGGCTAGACTCTATGTAAAAACCCGGGGGCAGAACCGTGCCCCGATTCAGCACTGCTGCGCTGGCATCGCGATGAAGAGCTGTGGCACAGCTTCAGCTATTGGAATGGGGGAGCTAATGCGTGGCCCAGCAGTTGGTACTACACGCAGGCCTCGAAGAAGAAGTCTGATGCTCAGCGATCAGCTCTACTCTCACCTGAATCATAGATTTGATATCAGATCCGCCTGTGATGTTGGGTATACGAAACTCCGCATCCGCTCTTTCCTGCAACTCAGTATGGGCGACATTGTATTGCAGAAAGTACAGCATCGCTGGCAGAAGCCCATCGGCAGGTCGTTTGTGGACGGGAAGAAGGGGGAGATCATCAGGGCGGGGCGAGTCAGCACTGATGACGAAGCAAACGAAAGATTATGAAGATGTGGGTCTTTTCGAAAGGCACCGATCCAAATTTGAATAGCGCTACGAAGGCTCGTGGCCCATTTTATCCTACGGGGGGAGGAGGCCGGCACAGTGACACCATTCTACCTATGCCGATGCTTTACCCACCCTTTGAAAAGGATTCTTCCGTTGTATAGGACCATGGATCGAGTCCTTCCAAAGCCAAACAAGCCTTGTGTTGTCCCGGGGCTGCAAGTTAGAAGAGGGCCAAAAGGGATTAACATGCTCTTTCCCCAATCGCACGGCGCTAAACGAGAGGGGGACGGTAGGTATGACTCCGCCCATTCGATCGGCGTGGAGTGCCTCTTTAACTATATTCTCTCAGCGTGATTTTGGCTAAAAGTGACCAATCCACTGTCTTGCAGTATCGGGGACTTGAACTCACAAATGGCCTCCGAGTGCTACTGGTATCGGATCCCACTACAGAAATATCTGCCGCTGCAATGGATGTCAATGTCGGTAGGCCACTATTACTCAACGTTGAATGGAATGCACTGCTATTCCGTGAGAAAAGGAACACTTTCAAACTTCGAATATCTTTTTTTGACGAGTTGAATGCTCTGTAGTGATGTAATCCAGGAAGCCTCATGGATCCATGGGAGTTGCAAGGGCTGGCACACTTTTGCGAGCACATGCTGTTTCTTGGTACTGATAAATATCCGAAGGAGGACGAGTACATGAGTGTAAGTCATGTAAATAAAACTGAACCCTGCTGGAGTTCTGGGCACTTTTCGATTCCCAAAGTATCAGCTTCACCTTTTCTCACCTGATAAATACCCTCCCCTTATGTGCGGAGTGGGATGCTGCGAGAATCACTCGAGGGACTTCAATGCTACTCGCTGTGTGCCAATTACGGTGCTGCTTTCACCGCAGCTTGTGTTGTTTTCAATGAGAAGTTTATGAAAGTCTCATTCGCTGCCTCACTCCACAAATAGAGAAAAGCTTAGAAATGGCTTTTCCTTGTCAAAATTTCTCTAATTTTTAGCACTCCCAAGAACGCATAGCAAAAACGAAACCTGCTTTTTGTGATCCTTATATGGGCCCATACAACGAATGGTGATGCTATGAGCATTTTTATCACAATCGGTACACTTGTTTTGGTGTTCAGATTGTGAATTCAGCAATGTTTTTGGCGCCGAGGCCGTGCAACTTGGCCCTATCATTTCACCAAAATTGGAATAAACTTCCATACTGGGGTAACTTAATGTCATGATTACGGCTGTGACGAACATTTTTAACGAGGGCGCCATCTGGCACTGATAGGTGTCACTTTGGCGCTCCCTTTAACGAAATCGACGTCGTAGCCTCACCACCTTCTTCACCAATACAGGAATGAGCTCATTCTGATACAATTTGATATCATTACGGTTGTGGCATTTATTCACAACACGGACCACACTGAGCCCCGATAGGTGTTGATTCGGCGCAACCATATTCTTTCACCAAATTCGTATAAAGCATCATACTAGGTTTATTTAGCATTCTACTCACAAATACGACGCTTTTCCTACACCGACTAACGGAAATCACTTTCTTACCCTTCGCCTAGCTAGGACTGAGCCTACTGGGAGGACTGCTCCCAGTCTCAGCTTTGAATACTATTCTCGCGAGCAACTGTTCCGGGTAGATGCCCAATCATGAACCACTAGTCGATAAGTGCTCCTGTAGAGGAAGACAGAGACCGCCAGCAGGGGGCGCTTTAGACGAGTTTGTCGGAGACTGGCAAGCACAAGATATCAGCAGGCTTGGACGTACAACTGATTCCCGGCACGAGCACAGGGAACCACCCTATGACGCTCCAGGCAACACTATGTTCACGCGCATTGCCGCTTATGAGCCACCGTCTTCTATCGGGTTGCAGTGTTTGCGATAATCACGCGCCTCAAGCTTCCTTATCTCACCGTTCCGGGTGGTAAAAGTGATATATCCTCTGCGAATGCGGAACGATGCCAAAAGCGCGGAAACATTTCGTAACCACTTGATTACGGGAACTGTTTTTAACTGAGCGATGATTAGCGCTAACGCCAAAAAATGAATATGATTTCAGTAATCAGGGTCCTTAACTGGCCTTCAAGTGATAAAATCTTTTTGAGAGGGGCCATGCTGGCGTCGGTGCGGGGCAAGTTAGAATTGTGTTTGTAATTAGAATGAACTTTGCTTGCATGTTCATATCAATTCTGAAAAGGAAGGTGCTGCGGCAAAATTTACCTACGCCAGCTCCATGCTGGCGCGAAACGGCGACGGCTCTTACGACGGCTCTTTTTAAAATGCATGCCAAATTTGTAAATTCGGGAACGGCGCCGCCGAAAATAACGGTAGTACGGGAGCTCATGACAAATTTGGAGGGAAAAAGGGTGAAGCGGAATTGACAGCTGCTCTCATTCGTGATCAGGACCTCAATATCCCTCGTGGCTGAAGTTACGAAAACTGCTTGGCATTCTGGAGTGGTCTTTTAGAAATCTTACCGTGCTCTAATTTTTGATGAATTCAAGTTCATTTCCGAGAATGGTGGAATGTATAACGCTACCACAGACAACGATCACACAACTTTCTTCTTCAATATAAAGCCGGAGAAACTGAAGGTCAGCGATTTGCTCCATTTCTTAGATTTTTCTGCAGAAACCGGTCATGTTGAGCGATTGTGTGACTGGAACACTGTAAAAATCTATTCTGAACCGTTTCCCCTTCTTTCGCTTATCGCACATGCTCATTTTGTCACTGTTCGCTTTGAAAGTAGAGACAGCATAGTGCTCAGAGGAGCCTGGGCCTCGCCTCAAAGGAACTAAGCGCGCTAGAAGATTGAGCCTCAAAGCTTTCCTCTTCTGCAACAATTAGCGGAAGAGACAGTTCTGCCTCTAATTCACACCCCTACACACGCCCTATCATTTGCAATCATTATTGAACTTGAAAGTAAAGGCATAATTGTGCAGTCGTGAAATACCAGTAGGAAAAAGCGTAGAGAAAATGGCGAAAAAAAGCAAAATAAGACTCCTTCAACTCCGAATTTTGCATAATTATGCAGATAAGAGCGAATGCGCGTGTAAGAATGAGAACGGGGCTGGTAAGCACGCAATGTCTCACCTGCACGTTTGCAACACGTCGGCATGGACCTCGTGGGCCCGAGTGCATGATATTTGCAGCCTACATTCTGCCCATTTTCAAATCGCGAACTTGGTTGATTGTGAACTAGGTTACCTACCTACTGAGATGATTGAACTTCTTTGCTGATCACAAGATGTCCATCTGAAAGAACAAACATGAAGGCCGATTTCCTATTTTGCCCATTTAGGAAGCACTCGACCGCTTTGTGCAGTTCTTCCTGGCTCCAAAGTTCACCCCGAGTATGACCGAAAGAGAGGTATGGACCATTGAGTCTGAAAGGAATGTTCGTTAAACCTTATATAGTTGATAACGTCGCAAGCAGTCGGGGCGATGTCAGCGATCACCACTGGTTAAATGAGTCCGCCTTCGGTTGACTTATCCTGCCAATGATGATCGCTCAGTGGTCGATATGGATAGAAAACAATCAGTGGGTGGAGCACCGCGGGTGAGCTAATGCTACGCCCCGTGACACAGCTCCGGTTGATTGCGAGCATTCAAGTGCACAATTCGGTCGAGCACATCAGCAGCATCTATTAGTTACGCAGTGTGCAGACTTTGCGATGACCCGCGACGACGGACTCTAAAACTTCAGCAGCCTCCCATCCGATAGAGGTGAATACAGCCACGGACTGATTGATGGGCGCCTGGGCGCCCTGGCGGCCAGCGTCGATCGATATGAGACTGCATGGTTGGGCCACTAGCGCCTACTTTCCCCAAAGTCTCTTTACTCATGAGCGGCGCCCATCGATTCCCGCCTGCGGCTGCGTTTGGGTCTATAAAACTGGAGCGCGGGTCGACCTGCGTCATCGCAAAGTCTAACGTTGCTCTGAGAATGAGCACGGTAACCAGTCCTTACTAGTTCAGCCTATTACTACTTGGTTGTATGAAACGACCATTTCTGGAACTTCTCTTCAGAGTTGCGAAGAATGAATAGGAAGTCAGACGGTGTCGGTATTGACACAGCAGCAGCAGCACGTATCAAGGGCTGATCCGAGGGCTGATCAACCGCAGTGCTTGGTTGCAGTTTATGCATAGCTTGGAAATGGGTTGGGCGTGGCTGCGCACTCCACTGGACGTGGTCCATGTAGTTTTTCGCGAAATATTTCCATCTGAAGCATTCTCTAAACGGCAATATGTTTCCAATAAGTGGCCGCCTCTACGTTCGAATGAGTTATGGAGCCACACCCACTACATCTCCGGGTTATGAACTCTATCTATGGCAGCTGACCATTACATCGCGGAGCCTACGTGCGGCTCATGAGCTACTTCTATTATTCAGGTACGCGCTGTTGACTCAGAACATTCGAAATATGTCAACAACGACGTTCAACGAGGCCTTCAAGTGATCTGGTAAGTCATGTAGCAGTACTCATATTAATGGATTTCATACAGGGGAGCTTCGAATGAGTTAAACAGAGAGAAGAGAAAAAAGTCGTAAACTAGTGCAGACTAGTGACAACACAACAAATTCATCATTTTACATGTACTGTCAAAAGTGCACTTCACGCTGGTCGTGTGCGCAGAGCTGAGCGTACCGTTGTGCTTTCTTCATTTCGCGATCCTTCTCAAATCTACGAACGCGCCAATGGTTACACCAGTCGGACCTAGCATCAGCGTGAAATGCGGCTGCCTGGTCTTTCAACACATTAGCTGCTTTCAGTTATCTCTCGAAGCCAGGTCACGATTTCGGGAAATTTGGAACAGGAAATAAGGTTGGTCAGAACGAGTTCACACGGAAAATAGCAACTTCCCATTTCTTGATTTCCTTTTACAGCTCCCTTTCAGAAAACACTACTGGACGATCCACAGGAGAAAGGTATTCATCCTCGTGAGGCACTGCTCGATTTTCACGAAAAGTGGTACAGTTCTAACATGTGAGTAATCTCATCTTGTCCCAATATTGACGTATAGAATCAGATGAAGACGCACTCCATGCTGGTGGTACGGACGTGGCCGGGTCTACCACTGTACCCTGCCCGTTGATGTGCCGTCCTCTTCACTGTCTTCGGTGTAGAGGGCATCACCGAAAAAAGCGGAACGGTGGGCCCGACTCCGCCCATACGCCAAAATACTCCTTACTTGATCTTATCTTTGGCTTCTCATAGCATGTCGTTATGTATTGTTGACTCGGAACCACTGGATGTCATGGAGTCCATCCTGGCAGATTTGGACTTTGGAGCGATTGAAAACAAGGATGTGGAACGAAAAGAGTGGTTGGAGAGTCCATACGGCGAGGAGCAACTTCGTAAACGTATTGAGGTGTGTTAATTCTAACAATCTTGTTTTTGCCATGCTTTCATTTCGTCCCTACAGTGGATTCATCATCCCACGATGGGGCACTCCCATGTCCACGTTGGCGAGCGGTTCGACGCCGTCACGATCGATAATGGCTGATACACCCACTACACTGATTTCTCTCATTTTCGACTTTCAAAAGCTGGAATTGTTCCTCTTCAGCTTTCATAAGGAAAGTTAAATATGTTTTACTGGAGCTAAACAGCATTTTGCATGATTTCTGTTGATAGTATCGAAGCTGAACGAAGACACTCAAGAGAAGTTCAGAAAGTTGTGAAAATAGAAAGAGGAACCCAATTTTTTGACTAAATCCACCGACGCGGCAAGCCGGGTCTTCGCCCTTCCAACCACTAGACCGCTCTGCCAGTGTGGCCGTGGAACGCCCCACCGTCTAACGAGAACTCCACTGTGCTTCATCTCTATCGTTATTGGTGTGGGTACTTCCCTGTACCCTTAAGTCCGGTTGTAAGTCCGCGAGATGTCGCAATCGCCGCAATTTGTACGTGGGACGAAATAGGCTAGAAACTGGATGTTATCTTCGAGACAGCTAATGCCGATGGTCCAAAATATCACTTACTATATATAATTTGCTTCGTCTGTCTGTCTGTTTGTTTGTTGTTTGTTTGTTTGTCTTGACTACGATAATTCGGTTCGACCTGAAGAACAGTTTGGAGAGTTCGAGTCAAGGTGGGGATAGGTTGGGCATGGGAAAGGCGTAACTAGCACCCGTGGCCCATGGTAAGCCCCGCCCGATGTGGGCGGGGAATACCCTGAAAATTGACTTAGCCGCAAAGGAAACTCACAACTCGCTTTCAGAGCAGCTCAGAGATGGGGGAAAAAGTGGAATAAGATTAGCAAGGGGTTGTCAGAATAATTGCGGGAGATATAACCGAAATGGGCAGGGATAGGCGGTGAGATAGGCGGGGCTTTCCACAAAATTCACCACTCGGTTTCCGAGAGAGTTCAGAAATCGCAAAAAAGGTCGGGGGGCAGGGCAGCACCCGGGGAGAGTTTGGCATGCCTGAAGTGTGTTAAGACCCGCTCACAGTGGGCGGAGCTTGCACTCACTCATAAGGCGCCCATTTTAAAAATTTGTAGCTTGTTTTCAGAGCATTCCGGAGACCGAAAAAGTTGACTAAGATCAGCAAAGGGTCACCGGTTAAGAATTGTGAGGCGCACAATTTGTGAGCGGTTCCAGCCCGAGGTAGGCGGAGACAAACAAAAGTTCTGTGAAACAGTTTCAAAGCACTCCAGGAACCTGAAAAAGTGCAGTAAGGTCAGCAGAGGGTCGCCTGTCAACAAATGTGGAGCACAACAGACAAAAAGGTCTGTAAAGCAGTTTCACATCATTCCAGAGATCGGAAAAAAGGTGGATCAAGGTCAGCAAAGGGTCGCCTGTTGAGGAATGTGAGGCACACATGTTGTGAGCTTATCCGGCCTGAGGTAGGCAGAGACAGACAAAAGTTCTGTAAAACATGAAAATGGATAGTGCAGGAGATATCCCCGGTCGAGGCGGCACACAGCTGTTGTAGCGGCGAGACGGGCGGGGCCAAAGGCAGAAATCTGTGAAATGCTTCCTTCAGAACAGAATCCAGACAGAAGGAGAGGGAGCCCCGCTAATGACGCGAGATTCACGCGCCTTTTCTGTGCGGAGCTGTGTCGATGTTGTGTCGAAGTCAGAAAATTCACGAATGAGTTGCTGAGCAGCATAGGCACCGGGGACAGGTGGATTGAGGTCTACAAGGGGTCAGCGGACGAACTGGAGAAGACATCCCGAAAACGGGAGTGCTGCAAAAGGCTGGAAACGGGCGGTGCTTGCTGCAAAAGTTCGTAGTTCGGATCTGAGTGGGCTTGGAGATCAGAGAAAACTTCTGAAGAAGAGATGGTGTGTGCTTGGGATCCTGTATTGACTGCATTTCAGTGCATAGGCCTCCATACGTTTGTCACAGGTAAATTAGATACCAGTGGATTCGCTGGCCTAGGCCGGCGCGATTCCTTCTCTGGTACGGCCATGCTTTGCCGGTTTTGCTTACCTTCGTCGCACCCACCTGCTTCCTTATGTTTGGATGCTGAACTAATACCCGGTCTCACTCTCATCTGCGCACTTGATCACCGCTGCTTACCACCATTTCATTGAACGTAATAGTGTCGAAAGTAGCACGTAGGGTGCTATTGGTTAAATAGCGTTAACTATGTGTACAGGCTAAATGAAAGCCGGATAACTGTGAGTATGCAGTGTAGAAGAAGGTGAGCTCGACGAAGCCGCGTCCGCCTGGCGAAGCGGGGCCGTATCACAGGGGGCGGCCAGCGTCAGCCGGCGAGCGGACTGGTGTAACCACGAACAGTAACCCTTGGAACGATGGATGATCGAGACAAATGAGAGATTAGTTAACACGCTCCGGACCGACGCCTATTTAGCGTGGCATTCACGTGTGACCGCAGCCTTTTTTGATGCGAGGCTGGCGTGACACATGGTGTGTCGTGTGGCGACGTTGGGCAGGTTTTAGACGCGATTCTTTCTCGTTGGTTACTTCATATGAGAAATTTGCATTTGGGGGTTCTTTCACAGCCAATTACGAATATGAAATTCATTTCCGGCGCTGACGCCAGAAATGAATGTCATATTCGATCATTTTGGCGCCATTGGGCGCCTGTTTGGCGCCACGATCACTTTTGACGAAAATGATGGAAATAATCTTTTGGGAATAAGCGGTTCACCGCGAATTTCGTGGAGAAATGCTGCTGCTGAACTAACGCCGCCGCTAGCTTAGATAGTGTTCACACTACGTCGCGAGCCACACCGTCTACACTCTCTTAGTGAGTGAGTTTCTCCGTCTTTTGAATGTTCTCCATATGCGCACCGGCAAGTGCCTCCGTTCGATGGTCAGCTATCGATTTTCCGGGACGCCGTTTCCGCCTATTCTCCGCCGCAGAGTATGAACAGATCCGCATCTGATTTCAATGGAGCGAAACGCTAATATTATGCTAATATTATAT